GGGGGTGTATGGGGGTGTATGGGGATGTTGGTGGGGTCACTGGGGTTATGGACTCCCTTTTTTCCTTTTTTTTGTGGGTTGCCGTCGACCGCCGACCGACCGGCAGGCCGGTATCTGACCGATAGAGTGGCGCCGACCGTCGGCCTGTGCAACTCTGCTGCTAGCCCTATTTCCAAATGGCCCTTGCCTTCGTGCTCTTTTAGACTGCAGTAGCTGGACAAGCGCATCATGAAAGTTCGCATGATGTGAAAGGTACTGGTGGCAAAAGGAAAGCAAAAATAAAAGAGAACCCAAAAAAACTTTAAAAAAGAGAGAAAAAAAAAGCAAAAGAGAAAACAAACCTACAGTCAAGTATCAATGATTCTAGCAGCCACTCACCTTCGTCAGGTTCCGTGCGAATTGGCTCGGTTGGGTATCGCCATTGTCCGGATTATTCCAACCCTCCACCTGTGCTGGCAGCGTTCTCAGGTGAACCTGAAGCCGTTCGCGCATGATCTGAACAAGCTTCGAGTGGATTTCATCCCGATGTACTCTGTAATCCTGGCAGCAACGACATGAAAGGGAAAGGAAGGCAGAAAGAAAGAAGAGAAGAGGAGTGTGGGACAGTGTGGCGGAGGAAACAGCACAATGAAGCAGCTTGAATCAGCAGACAAGTGAGAGGCGAGAAGCCCAGATGTGCGCAAGTGTGGTGCTGGACCTGCTGGTTCCTTTTTTTTTTTTTTACGTACAGGGTTGCAATGCAAGCTGGAGTCGGCTGCCGACAATGCTGACAGATCAACCTGCCAGCACCCACGGGGGACAGTACAGACTCACACGCACACACCTACACCTACTCCCATGCCAACACCCACACACAACGCATACACACACACACACACACACACACACACACACACACAGATCTGCCAAGGATTCTTCAAATGTCTGTTCACCTTGTCACTGAACTTGAGAGGATCGTTAAATAATAAATACAGTTTGTCAAAGGTAGTTTTTTCGTATGCAAAAAAGCTCTTTCGGATCCGTTTCATTAAACCACCAGTACTTCCGAGGCACTTTTCTCCGACCCTGGAAACACCCTGCATGGCAAAAAGATACGAACCGGCGTGGCCGCCTTTTGGCTGACGCTGCCAGCCATTGTGCTCTAGAGGCCGAGCACCGAACGTTGCAGTGCGCATACGACAAGGGCCCACGACCGAATGTATGGGCCAAGTACTGGTGGTTTAACCTGGCACAAGATGACCTGTTGTGGCTTCGCTCGCAAAGCAAGAGAAGTCGCATGGCATTAAGAGGAGTGTGGCAAGGGGAGGGGTTGGGGGAGAAAGAGGGCGTTGCGGCCCTCGTTCTGCCGTTTCTCATCTGTCAAATGTTAGGCTTCTTTTGGAAGATGTCGTCTTACCTCAGGTGTGGTGTTTGAGATTCGTCGTGTAGAACCACTCCTGTTCTGAAGTTAGTTCCGTAGCAACCCGCCGCACAATCATTTCCTTGTACTCGTCAGATGGCATGTTGTTATACTGAAGCTGGCGTGAGTACGTGATTTCCGAAAGTGTGTGGACATAATCCCAAGTGTTTGGTTCACAGAGGGTTTCGATCTTAAGGTTGATTGTGCATTTTCTTTCTTTGTCGAGTTGGATGATTTGGTCGGCTACATCCACCGGTCTAAAGGAGCGCAGGAGATCATACCAACCCCCAGTGTTGTTCGAATACAGAGACCGTTTAGGTGTCGATTGTGATTTGACTTTTTGGTAAATGTTGTGAACCCTTTCGTATCTGTAATTTGGCAGCGGAACCCTGTTGCTGAGATGCCTGTGATCTTCAGACAGCAAGTTGTTCAGAACTGCTTGGTTGTGTTTTTGAGCACCAGGGTTGTAGCTGACCACTCCTCTAGGCAGCAGACTTCTGATTCTTCCAGATTTGTAGTGGTCAAATTGCAGATTTATGTCTGCTGCAGGAATGGATTGAACAGCGAAGTCCTGCCAAAGCAAAACATGAATGAGTCTGGGGATGCCAATCTCGACCGCGAGTTTGTGCCAATCAGGCAGAGGAGCAGAGGGGTTGAGAAGGTCCATTTTGGGCAGGGAATTGCAAAGCTCTTTGGCAAGACATTCTTTGTGGTTGAGTCATTGTTGGCGCAGGCAGATCATCCGATGTGGTGTTAGGCAGTGCCTAGGGCGGGAGTGTGGAAAGGTGACATTGAGAGGACAGGGTGGCGATCGCTGTTTTTTCAAGTTTGGCATCCACGTCAAGCGCAGCAATCTCATCATCTGAGATTGTGTGAATATCACCAGGGGTTATAATTTGTTCCAGAAGGGATGGTGTGGCTGTCGGCATATCACTTTCTTTATTTGCAAGTTGTCGTGTTTCCGGATGTGCAAGGGGCAGGCGGGGGAGATGGCGGGGACGAAATTGTTTGGGTTGTATTATCTTCTGAATTGTCCGCGATATTTATAATTGCTCGAGTTTGTTCTATATCTTCGTTATTCTTTTGTTCTCCAAAGTCTTCCGTGTGATCTTTTGAGACATCATTGCCGCTGGCCGGGTTTGTTTGCTCAAGCCTTCTGCGCTTTACTGACTGCGCGGATGCACGGAGGCGGAGGCGGAGGCGGAGGCAGAGGCGGAGGCAGAGGCGGAGGCGGGTCGGCGGAGGTCGGCGGAGGTCGGCGGAGGTCAGAGGAGCGGGGGCGGGCGGAGGGGGTCGGCGGAGGAGCAGAGGCGGAGGAGCGGGGAAGCGGAGGAACGGAGGCGGGCAGAGGCAATGGGCGGAGGCGATGGGCGGAGATGGGCGGAGGCAATGAGCGGAGGCGGGCGGAGGTGATGGGCGGAGACGGAGGAGCGGAGGTGGAGGAGCGGAGGGGCGGAGGAGCTGAGGAGCGGAGGTGGAGGCATGGGAGTGGAGCGGAGGCGGGCGGAGGCGAGCGAGGTGGGTGGAGGCAATGGGCGGAGGCGGAGGTGGGGGCGGAGGAGCGGAGGAGCGGGCGGAGCGGAGGTGGGCAGTGGCAGGCGAGGTGGGCGGAGGCGGAGGCGGAGAAGGGGAGACGGAGGAGCGGAGGCGGAGGAACGGCGGTGGAGGTCGGCGGGTGGAGGCCGGCGGAGTCGGGGCAGGCGGAGCTGGGGCGAAGTCGAGGCGGGTGGAGGTCGGAGGAGCGGGAGTGGACAGAGGCGGGCAGAGTCGGGGCGGGCGGAGCGGCGGCGGAGTCGGGGCGGGTGGAGGCGATGGGCGGAGATGGGCAGAGGCGATAGGCGGAGACGATGGGCGGAGACGGGCGGAGGTCGAGGAGCGGAGGAGCAGTGGAGCGGAGGAGCGGAGGAGCTGAGGAGCGGAGGTGGAGGAGCGGGCGGGTGTGTGTGCGTGTGTGTGTGTGAGAGCTCTCTCTCTCTCTCTCTCTCTCTCTCTCTCTCTCTCTCTCTCTCTCTCTCTCTCTCTCCCCCCCTCCTTGTTTAGGAGTTTCCACGTTCTTGCCTCCATCCCCCCATCCGTTGCTTGCTTGCCCGTCAATTTCCCGTTCCCCTTGCCTTTCCCTGAGATTTCACCCTCCCCTCAGGTTCCCTCCTCCCCCTCCTCTTCCCCCTCCCTCTGTCGTCACACACACACACACGAACCCTCTCTCTCCCTCTCTCTCCC